TTCCTCTGGTGCTGGTGTTGTTGGTTCCTCTGGGGTTGTTTCCTCTGGTGCTGGTGTTGTTGGTTCCTCTGGGGTTGTCTCCTCTGGTGGGGGAGTTGTTGGTTCCTCTGGGGTTGTCTCCTCAGGCGTGGGGCTGGTGGGGGGCTCGCTGTCGGTTGCTGCCGCCTCAGTTGCGTCAGGGGTTGGGTCCTGTGTTGGGGGCAGGTCGGTTGGGTCCATTTCAGTCAGTGGCTCCTCTGTGGCATCAGGGGTCACATCATCTGTTGTGTCTGGAGTGGGAGGCTCAGCTTCGGTTGCTGGTTCCTCTGTGGCCTCGGGGGTTGTCCCTGCAGGTTCTGTGGTTGGGGCAGGAGTGGTCACTGGGATTTCAGGATCTACAGAACAAATACAAATTCGGTTCAGCCATTGGAATTGCCATGCAGGTTGGTATTGCCTATAATTGTATTACACCCATGAGCTATAGGTGCTTCCTTTGGAATAGCAAGTCCTTTTTTATCTGCCAAACTCACCTGGCCCAGGTGAAATGGGAGTTCCTTTTGTGTGCATGCGACTCTGCAGCACTCAGCTCAGTTTTAGGTGATCCCTTTTGACTGACCTGGCGCTGCCCCAGGTTCAGGGTTTAGTTTGGTGCTTGTAGGAGCTGCCTGGGGTTTCCTGCTGCTTTCATGGAAAGGAAGTCACTTTGAAAAATAGTCCTTCTAACAGAACACTTCCCTTCTCAGTCTGTAATTTTGATTTATTCCACTGCCCTACATTATAACCTAGTCTGCACCAACAACCTGGAGGTAGGGAAGTAGGATGAAAGTCATTCCTGAACACAGAGCCCTGAATGCATGTTGTGCTGTATCTTTGTTCCTTGGGTTGTTTTCCTCATTGTGATGTATGGATTTAAGGCTCTCCTTACTTGTATTTATAGTTACATTGATATAAGTCAAATTGTTATTCAGCAAGAATAACAGTAAATGCTTCTGTATTTCAATCTCTCCCTAAGTATTCTCTCTCTGAGATTTTGCAGATTAGTTCTGCAATCAGAAATGTTGTGTGTTTAGTATGAGCAGAACATTGCAGAGTAGGTTTCACTCCCATCCCATGTATCTGAAATACCATAAGCCAGCTGGGATCCTGTTAATGGTTATTTGAATTTCCCCTTATTTTCTTTTATTTAACCCACTATAAGGTTTTTAGGGTTCTTGGAGGGTTCTTTTGTTGGTTTTTGGTTTTTTTGGTTTTTTTTTGTTTTGTTTTGTTTTTTGTAAGAGGAAATTGGAACAGCAGAAAAAAAGTATTCCAAATCTAAAACAAAAAAGAATAAGAGGGTGGTAGGATTAAAGTATTGACTGACTTCTAGTGTCTTTTCAATTGTACTTCAAGTTCAAGCTGGCCTCCTGAGTTATCACTTCAAATGCTGGAACACATTACCAAAGAACACAGGAAAGCAGCATATTTTCCAGTCAGAATAAATAAATAAATGTGTTCTCTGAAGCAGCATAAGGCTGGCTTGTTTGAAGCTAGAGAAACCTGCTAGGACATTTTCCTGTGCTGCCAGTTCACCACTGTCCCACCCTTCCTGTTCCAGCCATGGATGCTGTCCAAGACTGACAGTGGTCTGTACCCTGTGTTTGGAGGATGTGTGACAATCCAGTAGAGACACAGGAGACATCACCTCTCTGCACCATCTGTGCTGAGTGAACTCTCCAAAGTCCTGATGGCTCGGTGAGGTAATCAGTTTATAAACCAAGTGCTTCCAAGCTTGCTAACTGTCTGGTAATGTCTAGGATCAGCTTTCTATTTCCAGAGCAGGAAAATGGTCTTTCATTTTCCTTCAGGTAACACCCATCCTGGTGCATCCATATACTTGCCTACCTTCCACAGCTTCCTCTGGTGACTCTTCCTCATCTGTGGAGGACCTTTTAGATTTGTTGTCTGGAGGAGTCTCCGGGGTTGGCTTTTCTGTGTGTGCTGAAAGAGAGAAGTGCTCCCATTAACAGATTATTTTCGCTTTATAGGTGCTTGGTGTCAGCTGTATAAGAGTGATTACAAAATTTCAGTGACCCTCTTTCACTTAAAACTAAGTATCTTTTAATTTACAGGATAATTTACACAATTATTTGTGTGAAAAAGAGCAAAAATACCCTTTTGATCCTGAAATGTTTCATAACAGATGGAAGCAATATTTTTCCCAGAAGTTTGAGGTGAGGCATTATTAGCTAATGGTAATTTTGAGGTGGGAAAAGAACTGAATTCTGGGCAGACCTCTATTCTGAAAATTTGTTTTATTTTTTTTTTTCACTACAGATGACTTTTTACTACTTGACTTTCACTACAGATAACTAACTGTTGTGGAAATAGGAGAGCTGTCACATTAGCCAAGAATTTATTTGGATAATCTCCTTGCAGCTCTTCAGATGTGATAATTCTACACAAGTGATTGTTTTGGGGAGACTTTTTAAAAGAAATGGTTTCCCTGAAGGAGACAGGAGCTACAAAGCAGGCATGGACCAAGGGAAAAAACATGGGTATTAAGCTAACTTCTAGTAGGATGAGTTTTAGGAGAAATAGGAGGTTGTGTTCAGATTTTTCAGCTCTGAAGAGTGAATGGGAATTCAGTTGCATCCAGTAAGAGCCAGAAAATATTTTATAATTAATTGTTGGCCAAATTGTACAACTGGAAATGAGCTACTGGCATAGCCTTGTAGAAGGAACTTGTTAGTTGTGAAGGAAATGTGATGGAGCTCAGGGACCTGGCCAAATTGTTTGGATCCAGCTAAGGGAGCTGGGAACTGCCAGAGGTGTGTGTAATCAGCTTTTTACTAAAGGAATGGGATTTTTGTCTCCAAGGGATGACCATGATGTCCAAAGATTTACTTTCACAGCAAGCTAGTGCTCGAAGCAAGGAAGGTCGGGTATTGCATTATATCCTAAAACATTTATTGAGGAAGAGAGAGAAATTGTTGTAGTTGAAGCTGAATGACTCCTTTGGAAGCCAATTTTTGGGGAGGGGAACGTTTTGGTTATGTGTATACATGTATTCAGGGATTAAAGAGCTTCTGGAGAGCAGGGAAGTTTACAGTGAGCTCTGGATATGCATCGAACACTTGCCTTTACTGTACAGAAAAAATTGTTCAGAGGATGCTGAAACAGCAAATTTATTCCAAGAGGTTTAACAGATTTCTCAGTTATTCACACATAACATAAATAGTAAAATACTGAGTACAGTGGTTTGGGGGATTTCTGCTCGATTTTTTGACAAAAAAATGGTAGCAAAGTTTAGTACAATACAGAAGAAATTCTTTAAGATTAGGAACAGTTGATTAATTCTTCATTCTATTTTAACTGAAGAAGTGAAATGGTTTAACAATGTTTTGTGAGTGTTTGGGTGTGATAAACTCAGCGGAAAGAGGGAAATATTAAGCAGCCTCATAAGCAGCAAATTCACCTCAATATGCTTCCAAGACCCTTCTCTAGACAGTCAAAAATGTTGGATACAGACTCTATTTCAGCCTAAATTACTGTGCAGTTGTGCGGCCAAGCCAGGCCACTACCCCAGCACTTGGGTGAAGAGAACCAAATTATAATTGTGACTTGTGTGTTACACTGCAGGCTTTGGGAATTGGCTGCCTTGGAGGTGGGCTGCTCTGTGGATGCAGTGACCTCGCGCCAAGCCATATTTGTCAAGTGTGTTGACAGAAATTAATTTAGGTCTTTAGGTACCAGAAAGTTTAAGGACATGATGGAATTAAACATATTCTGTTGGGTTTTTTTAGAGTTCATTTGCTGGTGTCCTTAAAGCTACATGAGAGTGGGACTGCACCTCCAGATCTGTCCCTTTGTGCTCAGCTGAAACCCCACCAGGCTCTGCAGAAAAGGACAGAACAAAAGAAGTGACTGATTCTGCCCTGGACTGAACTTGCAGCTTAAAGGTAAAATGTGTGTTTTCTTGAATCTTTTCTTGCTACACTGTGAACATGTGACATCCAGTTCCTTCCTTGTGCCCAACAAGATGGGTTTCTGTGTTGGGCTGCTCCTCCCACATTGGATTTGAGATGGGGAGAATCTAGGATGTGCATCTCTAATATGCTGCCAGTGACTGCTTTTGGTGGCCCCAAGCAAGTGATCTGGAGGTCCAGGTAGTGCTGTCCTAAGGCACAGAGTAGCCATTCCCCACTTTTGGATGGGAGAGGATTTTAAGGGGGTTGAACCTTCCACCTTGTTTTTATAAGAGGAACTCAGCATTTTACTGCAATTCATTTATTCATCTGCCTAGTGGAAAAGGCCCTGGGGGTGCTGGTGCTAAATGTGAGCCAGGTGTGCCCAGGTGGAGCAGAGGCCAGTGGCCCCTGGGCTGTGCCAGCCCTGGTGTGGGCACAGGCCCAGGGCAGTGGCTGTGCCCTGTGCTGGCCCTGCTGAGGGACCTCGAGTGCTGTGTCCAGTTCTGGCCCTCATGGCCAGAGAGACCTTGAGGGGCTGGAGCATGTCCAGGGAAGGGAACAGAGCTGGGGAAGGGTCTGGAGCACCAGGAGGGGCTGAGGGAGCTGGGAAGGGGCTCAGCCTGGAGAAAAGGAGGCTCAGGGGAGACCCTGTGGCTCTGCACAGCTCCTGACAGGAGGGGACAGCCGAGGGGGTTGGGCTCTGCTCCCAGGAACAGGGACAGGATAAGAGGAAATGACCCCTAGGAGCACCAGGGGAGGTTTGGGTTCCCAGGCTGCCCAGGGCAGGGGTGGAGTCCCCATCCCTGGAGGGATTTAAAAGCTGTGTGAGTGTGTCACTTGGGACATGTTTTAATGATGGCCTTGGCAGTGCTGGGGGAATGGTTGGATACAATGATCTCAAAAGGTCTTTTCCTGACAAATCTGTTCGGATTCCCCAACTTCTCTCACTGAATTCTATTATTGATGTGCAGACCTTATCTTTACATGTGGTATTCTCAGTAAGGGCTCCGACAGCACGGCTGGTGCCAAAAGAGCCTAATGTAAAATACAACTTTAACCTCAGAATTCACATCTTGATGATGACTTGCAGGATATCTACCTGTATGTTTCCATAAAGTGCTCATGCTTGAGAAGTTGGCCAATTTGTTTGTGAAATTAGGTTTTGTTATTTTTCTGTTTTGTTTTGTTTGTTTTGTCCTGTTTTCTGTTTTTCAGTTGTCACCAGAGCCCACACAGTTTTGTTCATGGTACAGCACCTCTGCTTAAACATGTTTTTGAGAAACAGATGGAGAAGTGTCTTACCCTCTTTACAGTACTTGGCGTAGTCTGGGCAGCATTTTCCGTACCGCTCGCAGTCGGCATCGCAGTCGCACTCACGGCCCCTCTCGAAGGCCTCGAAGCAGCGTCCCTCGCAGGAGGCGGCTGCAGGGACACAGAGCACAGTCAGGCTTTGGGCCAGCCCATCTGCAACGCTGGGACCTCTCTACAGTGAAGTCATTGGCTCGAGCTGTGCCAAGAGCAGCTCCAGAAAATCAGGTGCTTATCCTGGTCTGATCCAGGCTTTGTCTGTGATGTGGGGTTTGGACCAGACAGTGCCACCAGAGGGGCACTGTGCCATGGCAGTGACATTGGATTGACAGCGTGATAAAACCTGACTGCCACGTTCACTTTAGCCAGGTCCCACCGTAGGAGGCTTCTGCGTCCCCAGCCACAGAGCAGTGATCTCAAGAATGATCTTGAGATTCTGGGCTGGGTTTGCAGGAAGGTGTTCACCAGGGGATCCCTTTGCAAGAAGAACAATGTGTCTACCAAAGCATTTCTGAAAAATAATTCACCTAATTAGGTCACAACCGAGTGTACCTGGTGTGTCCAGACAAACACTGCAACCTAATTGTATGAACAGGTTATCCAAGTTACCTCAAGAAACCAGCTTGGAACTGTTTAATACAGTTCTTAAATTATTAGTACCAAAGGACTATATACCATGTTTTGACATGATTAATAACCACATGTTTTTAATATTTCATATTTGGTTAACTTCTGAAACATCACTGACTAAACTGCTATTTCATATCAAAGAATGACCGTGTTGTGTTAGAAAGAGTGTGCACAGCTATTAGACTTCAGAAAAAGCACTTTCTCTACATATGTCTTTATTGAAGTCATTATCTCTGTGGCACACAAGGCATAAAATCATGTTACACAGTTAAATCACTATCAAGAAAAATGACAGATGCCTGCTGTATAGGAAGATTCTGAACATGTTTGGATTAGTGCAGTTGTGGAATCAGTGTTGATGCCAGTGGATCCATCCCACATGCACAGGTGAGAATTATTTTTATTATCTTAGGGAAATTTTTATTCATAAATAATGTCTGGCATTTCTGTCATTTAGTCAGTGTTGATTCCACACTAGCTGGACAACAGTCTTTAGCCAGACTGCCTGCATCCTTTCAGGATGGCATCTCCTGTGCTTGCCTGGACTCGCTGATTTAGATAGAACAGAGAAGACTTTCTCTAGCCTTAACTTTTTGGTTAAATGTTGTGCAGAAGCCAGAATACCTTTAGAATCTGACCCACAATGAATAAATAGCCTCCATAATTAAAATGCCTCACTCTGCATCTTCAGCTGTGAGAAATGCTGATGTCCCCCCACAAAGCAAAATAAGGATGGGGGAGACTGAAAGGCAAAGTGTCCCCAGTGTATGTCAGGGCAGCAGAACTGGAATTTTAGGAATGCTAGGTCTGCATTTTGGACAACACTCAGCAGTGTTGGTGGTTCTGAGTATTTGTTACTCCTGTAATCCTACTGAAACCACAGTGTAGCATAACAAACTACTGTTATCCAAATCACTGACATTTCTGACATTGGTGATTGCTAAGAAAATGTCTTTAATGCTCATTAAAGCAATTATCTGTTTTTATTTACATTGTGCAGTTTTCCCTATAAATAAAGCATAAATTAATACTCATCCAAACACCTTTTCCAGCAGACTCTGGATATGGTTCTGATCCAGATTCAATTTCTGTCTATGGAAGGACACCCTGGCTTTGGATTAGACCCCACAGCATCCACACTTCTTAAATTTGAATTGGAATATGTCAGAATTTCTTTCTGCAAAAACCTGAATTGGCTTTTACCACTTTTTTCTTTGTATAGGAGACAGACACATACAGTACAAATGCACTAAGGAGTAGAAAACAAACAAAACAAACAGTTTTTGCCAATCTTGCCTAGTTCTGCTTTTGTCAAAAGCAAAATTCTTTGCTTGGCAATAATCTGTGGATACACAATTTTTTTGCATTTGCAAGAGGTTATCCTGAATATTTGAGGGGAACAACAATACATGTATGAGATGGAACAAGGACACAGCAAACCAACAGACATTTAAGCATTCAGAGGAGACACTGGTGTGGTAGGGAGCTGGGAGGGGAATTTTGAGGAGAGGAACTGGCTGTGTTGGGGAACTTACCCACTGTGCAGACTTTCCTGAAGTCAGGGCAGCACTCCATGTAGTGGTGACAGTTAAAATCACACTGGCAGTCATGCTCTCTAGAATACCCTGTCCCACATCTCCCTGTACAGCTCGATACATCTAAAATCACACAACACTGGTGTAAGCATTGCCCAACCACAATGGTCCCTAAGGAAATGCGGAATGGAAAAGGACTAAAGCTTCTCTCCTTTTTTCCTACAGAATGTGGTTTCTACACTCAGTACTGCAGAAATTGAGGGCCTGGTGTGACTCCTCCTGAAGGTGTGGGGAGCAGAGGTTTGCTCTGTGCCAGCTTGAGGACCAGCAGCAGCACGTGTTCAGGTTAGAGGGGTCTTCCACTGAGCTAACTTAACCCTTTTTGTCTGAAAACCAAGGAATCCTTGAGGATTGGTTCTATAGTATGACAAGAGGCTTCCAAGCTAACCCCTTAGACAGTATATCAGCTTTGCTGATTTACTTTTCAGTTTGATTCACCTTCTGTATGACAATAGGTGTGCATCTGCACACCCATACCTGACAGACCCCCTAGGTGTCTGATTTTTATTGTTGGTAATGCTGTTCCTAATTACCCATCTAATCAGGCTGGCTTGTAAACTGGAGAACACTGTCATAATAAATACAAGTCCCTGAAACCATTTTTATTGGAAGTTTCAAAATCTGCCTACTCCCTACACTATATTTTTTCCCTGATGTCAGGAAAGAATTTGGTATCAGTTCTAAGGTTAAGAACAGTTGGGATCTAGCCCTGTAACTCCTATGAAGTACATTTTGTTAATTAGAAGATTATGTACTAGCAAACTAACAGAAAAGCTCATCCCATAATGGCTTTTCTGCCAGACTGCTGGGAAATGCTGGATAACAAGAAATGGTGCAGATAACAGGTGGTAAAACAAGGCAGCAGGAGTGTCTTGCTTTAACCTGTGAGCACTCCAGCTCAGCAGTGCTTTGCTACCTTCTGCTGCCAAATCAGATATTCACTCTGCAACCCTCCCCTTCATCTGTGAAATCTCTGAAAACACAACAAGTTAACAGCTTCTTCTGGACATGAAACATGCAGGACCACAAGTGAAGCGTCCCTAAATACAAACAAAGAAGCTGAACAATCAGCAAGCCCAAACAGATAATCAGCTGAAACGTTGAGGAACAACAAGGAAATAACATGTAACACAACACAACACCGAAGACAATTGCTAACAACACACATTCCATGTGTGTGTCTGAAGGAAGAGCATGGCATAACAAATATTATATCTATTACATATACATTGATTCTCAGACAGTACTTGTAATGCTTGTTATCACTTTGCCACAAATAGAAAAGTGGATCCAAGGGATAACTGGAGGCATTAATGGACTTGAGTTACTGGGCTATTAATACAGCAGTTGAAAAGACAAAATGGACATCTTCCTTTATGGATATATGCCCAATATACTGAACCCTTGTTCCTTTATGGAAGGAAAATAAGTCCAGTAGTTATATAGATAATATGTAGTAGCCCAATGGTTGCACCTCTTCATTTGTTTCTTTTCAGTTTATGACTTGTAAGTTACAGAGTTACTTTTAAGGAAAGTGCCTGAATAGTCCTGGTTGCTGTTGGCAAAAGTCTTGATTTTTGCTGAAACTGGTGGGAAGGCATCACTTATCAAGGGGTCAGTGTAAGGTTACATCTGGCATGGGGTGCGCCCTGAGGAACTTCTTGGATACATGACATTGTGCTTTCTGCTATCAAGTAGTAATAAATCATTTTCTACCAGCAAGTAATACCTAGTGTCATCCCCCTGCAAATTTGAGAGCTATTAGAGAACTGCAACAGCTCAGGATTTGCGAGCGGGGCACGTTCTGCTTCACCATAACAGTGTTACTTTAGTAAGGAATCAATTATAGAGCTATCATTAGACAAATAATTCCCCAAATTTGCCTCACTGCTATAAGAATGGTGCATTTAATGGGAAAGCACTTATCAAGGTAGAGACATTTCTTTCCCTGAGCTTGTTGAAATATTTCTAGCCAACCTTTGTGGATATTCTCATGTTAGATTCTTTCTAAATCAAACTGCAAATCACTTGGGCTAAATACATCAGTATGAGGGCAAGAGGCTCTGTGTAGGCTGTCTACAGAAAAAGTAATAGATTTATACACATTCTGCATTACATTTATATTTTTATGTTATTCCTCAAAAAAAGATGCTACACTAAAATTTATTTATGAAAATATTCAGTGATGATAAAACTGAATCATATTTCCTATCTGAATAAAGTTCTAGAGCTTTGTAGTATTTTTATGAAGTTGCATTTGAAATATTCTTAATGTGTGTCAGGCACACACTCCTAGACACCCTCCCTTCAGCTTTGTGTGTTACAGTACCTTGAGAAGACACCTCTGGAATCAAGGACAGTGAAAGAACCACCAGGGATATGCATAGTATGTTCCATATGATCATAACTTTCAGGTATGACATCGTTCCTAAAAAGAAATAATCTTACATCACTATCTGCAATTCACTTAATTCATAATTTTTAAAATGCTGTGCATATCTTTATATATGACTAGCTTGATAAAATGGAAAATAAATAATAAAACCGTTCAAGAGAAAAATCGCTATTTTAGAATTGCTCCATAAATTCCCTCTTGATTATTAGTCAATTAGCCATTAAATTCTGTCATAAGACTATAGAAATTCATTATGAACAAGTAATAGAAATAAATTTTTGCAGAATTCTATTACATGAAGACTACAGTTGCAGTTGTCTTCTGACATGGGTACACTGCAGCACAATGTTTAAAGTTATAATACTGATAAATGAAAATCTGTAATAAAACCAGAAAAATAATAAAAATAACACTGACAGAATATAGGTTATTCAGCAACATAATTCTATAAACCATAACCTAACATTGAAATATGTCAAATGGAAACATAGGCTAAAAGTAAATCTTCTTTCAAAAAGAAAACTTTGAATTTTCTGTCCCAGTTCCTGTTCTCCTACTGAAGAAGAGCTCTGGGTAGAGACAGGTATAGCACTTACCTAGCAGAGAGTGTGTCTGCTCCCAGGGCTGTTCCAGAGTCCTTATATATTGCTTTGGAGCTGTGCTGGGGTCAGGTAATTAGGCAGTTTGTTAAACACACCACCAATGACAGCTCATGACAGCAAACTTTCCACAGGGCTTGGAAGTGGGCCCGGATGACTAGACTAACACAACATCTGGAAAATACTCCCATTAAGAAAAACGATTACAGAAAAACTAAATAGGGACTTACTAGTCAAAACACATTTTGATTACTGAGAGAAATGAACAAATTGTCCTCAATGCAGCTGGAAGGCATTAGAGAGTATTGCAGAGCAATAAAAAATCATCACAGGCAATTGCTGAGTGTATTTTCTTTCCTGTCAAATGGAGCTTAGGTGACAGTAGCCTGAAATGATGCAGTTTTATCTGCTACTGATGGTATATCTTCTCCAAAAAGTTGTGAGAGCTAATTCATACAGACATAAGTAATTCACTACTTGCACTGAATATTTTGTACTTTCCCCTGAATTGAATGGAACCGCTGCCAAGGCATTGGCTAGAAATCAAAGAATTGAGTCAAATCACAAAGTTATTGAACATATGATATGTAAGACCTCAAAAATGAATGAAAGAGGCCTTAATTGTTTTAATGGTCTTTGTGCTCATTGGTTCCAGATTTGGGATAGTGGAAATGGTCATTTGTAAGTCTCAGAGACAGAGGAGGTTTTAACTGAAACTTTTACAGTCCTCACTGTTGGTCTTTAGGAGGGATCTTTTATTCAGAAATTATCCTAAAGGCCAGGAAACTTTAATACGCCTCCTTTATTGTATTACTTGAGTCCCAAAGTAGTTCTGTTAACCCCAAAAATAAATATGGTATAGTACACACTGATCCCAGTTGAGGAAAGCACTTCAAATGAGAATAAGTCTCTTAAGGAAAATAATGCAGAACAGGAGTGGGTTTAAACATGTATTTGAATGTTTTCCTCACTTGATTCATTGACTGAACAGCTTTAGTAATTTTATGCTAGAATTTCTAATTTCTGCATTATCACAATAGAGAGATTTCTATTCAGTCTTTCTGCATGGAAAAACTATTTACTTCAATTAAATGGAGTAATGATTAGTTTACTTTGTGGGAAAGTGGAGACTGAGTTATTATGGAGTTTATTCAAGGTCATTCAAAAAGAAATGTATATTACATGTCTTATAATAAGAGTTTCAGGGATGTCTTTAGTGGACTATAAGCTGGATAAAGAAACCCTGGCTTGGGTAGAATAGTACCTGTCTATGATTATTTCAAGCCCGGGGAAGAAGTACTTGTTAGAGTAGCCAAATAGGATCAGCAAGATGAGACGTTTCCTAGAAAAGTACTGAAATACTTATAACTTAATTAATTTATCATTTGATCAAGCAAAACATTTAAGACCAAATTAACTGAGCGTATCCTTACTTTGAGATCCATGACATTGAGGAGATTTGTTTTCTTTTCCATAAATTCACAGCTGGTGCAGCTGTGAGTCCCAGTAAATACTGGCTGGCTACCTGAGGTGAATATATGTGTGTGTGTGTATGACTCAATCAAAAAACTCAGAAGATCAAAATTATTATCATTTTTCTGTTGAGCCAGGGCTCAACTGAGTCATACAATTGGGAACAGACACACTTAAAAAACAGGTAGCTGTGAATGGCTGCCACATTGTGTTATGGATGTTCCTTTTGGTAGGATTGTGTTTTTAATTTCTCTTCTGAATTGAACTTTTCAGTTGTTAGAGGTCACATGGAGTTGCAAAGTTTGTGTGTAAAGAATTTCATAAGTGGATCAACAGGCTGTGAAAAGCACCTAAGTCACCTTAAAATTGTACTGTCACTGTGGCATTGAGATGGGTGGGCAGATAACATTAAGGTAAGGGCTGATCCTGACCAGGTTTTGCTGGTCTTCCCTTTGTTTTTAGGCATGAATTTTGAAATCCTGTTTTAAATTATTGTTATAGATTCTCATAGGTGGCAAGAAAAGCATTCAGTGCACACGTGCTGGGCAGGGTGTGCTCCTGCTGCTGTGCCCAGGTTGGAGTGCCAGGGAGAAGGGCCCAGAGAGGAATGGGGAGCTGCATGGGCAGGGGAGGGAGAGCTCCATCCCAAACACAGATATAACATAGGATAAGTACAAAATGTTCCATTTCCTTCTTTTGAGTTTAGCTGCCTTTAGGGAAACAAGACTCATTACATTTGCTCATCATCCCTGATGAGTAAATAAGGATACATGGCTTCATCAGCATTTTATTTTGTCCTAAAGAAGCACTTGGGACCTAATATTGTGGTTAGTCACTCCAATCAAAAAGAGAAAACTTTATTTTTTATCTGATTTTTATTGCTTCACTTAATATCAACTGGCCAGTCATTAATTTGGCAATGCTCTCAGGCAACGCAAACCCTTCATCAAACCTTGGCATGTGTATCCAAAATCTTATCTGTCCTTCCAACTTCCCTAGTAGATTGCATTTTGGAAAAAAAGAGGAGGTAAAAAAAAAAAAGCCCTTCCTTTGCCTGTGTACTGCAAGGATCCCAATTACAGCACAATTGCTGCTATTTTTTATTTCTGGATGAACAGATTCCTTATGCTGGTACCCGTGACCTGGCGGTGCCTTTTCAGGCCTTGGCTTTTCCACAAGCTCATCAGTCAGTCCCATTTATGATAGTGGTTTGGGAATGTGATCATATCCACTGGGATCACATGGAAAACAGAAGTCAGTGAAGTCCCAGACAACAGTTGTTGGCATGATCTGAGCCTGGTCTGACAGAGGCCTTACTGCTTTTTCAGTTCCATCGTTGGTCCCCTTTGTAAACCCATCAGGACCCTCAGAATATCCTGTGACTTTTGGATGGACAAGAAGTTACCTCGGGTGCTCTGAGTCCCTGTAGGACTCAGGAAGAGCTGCTGGGCAATCGCAGCAGAAGTGATACAAACTGGGCTGAGCAACAGGAAAGGGAAAAGGTATTTAGTGTAGTGTTGGCCTGTTAAATATTCACTGGTTGGTGAACACTTGTTTCACATAAAAGGAATCATAGAAGGAATGTAATAGCAAGTTAAATGAGAATGCTGGAGGTCTCACTGAAGTTACTAAGAAAAATTATCAAGAATCACAGAAAAGTTTTGGTCTTGCAGGAAGGACTGATAGACTTTCAGGGCTGGGGTCTTGGTGGGCCAAGGAAGGGGATGGTGTAGAGGAGGCAGAAGCCTTCATGTGGGAAGCTCATGGGATTGCAGTTCTGGGACAACTGATAATTGATCAAAGGTGCTTCCTTGTCTTGCCTTCTACAGTCTGTCACTTTCTTCTGTGCACAACTGGCTAACTTTCACTGGGATTTTGTCTGATTGTGGGGGAAAAAAAAAGAGTTAATTTGAAAGAGGACCTCTGTCTTTTAAGAAAAAGGAGTATCAACATCCTAGCTTTTCTGTGGTTTACAAGTAGCAGTAGTACTGCAATGAATTCTGCTGCACCAAGGCTCAAACTGTTCCCATACATCTTCCAGTTGATGTAAATACAGAATTATTGTACTTCCAATTCTGAAAAAGGTGTGATTTTTTTTTCAAAGTAAGAAGTGGAGAGTGATATTTAAATATTATTTAGATATCATGTTTGTTCTCACAGAAATCTCAGGCAAGCCCATAATGATAGGTGGAAGACTCGTAGAATCCCCAGGTCTGTGTTATTTTTATAGTACTACCAATATCAGTAGCAGAAATCTTTTTATTCCAGAAAAGCCTTTAAAATCAGCATAGCTGCAGACATTATGGAACATCTTGAAGAGCAGGAGAAGAAGCAGATTTGCTGGCTGGTTACATCTGTGGATGTAATGCACTTCTCTGGAGCCTTGGCTGTAAGTGCATCACTTTATAGATGTCATGATATTTCTGAGTGGGTCCTCACAAATCTCTATGAAATAATTGTAAAGGTTTTTATCCCAAAGCTAGAGCATGGATTTATCTGGGCTAGACTGGAATCTCATTTTATGTGGAATCTATGCTCTGGTTCATACAACAGGGCAGACTTAGTGGCAGAAAATTACTGGGTGAAATCTTTTGGGGAATGTCTGTCAGAACACGACCTCATTAAATAAGAAATATTGAACTTCTCTTTCTTTTCCCTTTAAGGAACTATTTTTCTCTGATCTTGAACCTAGTGAAATGGTTAAAGATTTGAATACAGATAGCTGATAAAAGTGAGTTCTGTTTCATAAAAAATGTCCCAGAAAATGAACTATATTTCATGTTGTTTGTTCTTTTTTATTCATACAGTGTATGGACTAGTTCTACTGAATCATAGCTGCAAGAAAACAAGAGATTTAACTACAGGAAGAAAAAAAGTCAAGCAGTATTTCAACATGAAGGCCCAGGATAAGAAGAAAGAAGAAAAATACCATGAGAAAGGTAAATCTAGGAGAGTAAGAAGTTATATATGTCTGTCTGTAATGTTGGAAATTATGTTTAGCAGTTAAACCAGAATTCTCAGTTCAACAGTAGGAGCTGAATTAGCACTGGCTCCTGGAAATCTTGGGAATGAAAGATGCAGACAATTCTTTCAGTTTAGTTATGTCATTACCCCTTCAGGACAGGTGGTAGAGACTCCCAGAAAGAGTCACCATTTTTCATATGGCTGACAAATAACACCCTCAGTTTGGCAAAAGAGCGGTGAAAAGGTGTCAGATAGGTTTTTTCAGACTTGATGTGAAGTAATTTTCTTGTAACATGAAGAATCATCTTTCTTAGACATCATAGGCGACCATAAATAATTCTTTTAACACATTTTCAAGCTTTCACTTCTTTTGTACTCCTGCAAAAATAATCTGTTTGAATGTGTATACGCAAGGAAGAAAATCTTCCTGGATTAGCATAGTTGTATAGAAGAGTGATGAGTAAATTTTAATGTATATGGCTCTGAGAAGGGGTTTTTTTTTTCTTTTTTTGGGACTTTTCTGCTGTTGCTTGACTTCAGAGTGAGAACTGAGCAGTAACTTCTGATGCACATTCAACAGGAAGCTCTCAAAGGTCAAATATCAAGCTCCTGTACAAAAAATTTCTCCTGGCACTATTGAATACTGTATATTAATGGTAGTGAAGAAAGCTTTGGTTAAAGCTGCCAAAGGCTTGTGGGACCCGCTTTCTTTCTTACTGTAAACATTGTTTTACAGGAATCTGAATTATTTCTGTGAAATGTTCAGTACTTCTGTCTATTCAGATTCTGTTGTTTAAAAGACACCTACAGTGAACAAGGGTTGCCTGAGTGTTTGGCAGAGTAACTTGTCTCAGCATGATAAATCCCCTTTTCTTTGGCAGAGGTAAAGGTATTTAAAACAGGAGAAAATGTTCATTTCCCTTTCAGTTTCAATGACCTTTGAAATTGTTGTATTCTCTTTTAAATACTTTCAACATGAACTCTGCCTCTAAAAAATCAGTTTTCTTCTCAGTCCTCCTGTAAGAGTTGCACAAGCACAGCATGACTGCAGCAGCTCCAAGCAGGGCACTGAGGCTCAGCAGCTCTGAGTTTATACTTCAAATATAACAGGAATTTATGTCTACAAATGAAACTATGGCAAATATGTAAATTATTCAGCAAGGCTATGTTATATCAGAAGTTGTGCAGTGTTGATCTGAAGCAGGAATGATCTGCAGCAAAGGCAAAATTCTTGACCTTGACTGATGAGGGAAAATAAAATTCAAAAAACCCCTAAGCTGTAGTTGTTATCCAGATATCTTTCTGATATATCAGGAAATTTCTAGTCATTGGCTTTTGTTTGTCTATAATTAAGTCTGGGGTTAGAGCTGAGTATTAGGTTTTAGAAATCTAAAACTGAAAGCCCCTGTAATTCCGTGTTTCTCAAGGGCACCAGCGTGGGTGCTGGGAGCTCCCTTCTGGCAGGGAGCTCCTTACCTGTCCTAAGCAGTTCTCCCTCACAGCATGGGCTGCCAGCACTCACAGCTGTTGGGGCTGGGGATATGAACTAGTCCCCATATCCCTCCTGAGGGGTGACTATGCTGGAGGCTGGGGTCAAGGTCAAGCTTTGGAAAGATGAGCCTCTGTGGATTTAGAAGTCCAAGGAGTTAAGAGGGCTGGCAGCTTTTCTGTCTAAATGATTCATCTCCCTTCTAGACTTCAAATTAATTTTATGGTTTGAATTCAAGTTAGATTATAAGTCAGTGATTCAACTTTGTGGTGTTCAGTTTTAGGGAGGTGCCTGGCATGGCCCTGCTGCTCTCATTTACTGTAGGGATTGATCAATATACTGATATTACTAAGCATTTATTTGGGCTCACAGCCAGGGCTTCTGGTGCTGGAGCTCTGCCACTAGGAGGTTAAAAGGAGGGCTGAGACCTGACAAAGATCAGCCTTCTGCATTATCATAGGAATTGGTCTCCACTGTAAAACTCAGTTTGGAGTTTTCATGATATTAAAATGTATGGCTAACATTCAGTATATGCTTAGTAATAGCATTTCAGTGTATTTCATTGAAGTTCAATTAGTTTATTTCAATTTTGGTCTAAATTTTCAGAGATTTGTGTGTTTTGGTTGCTTTGCGTGTTACTGTGGGGATTGGCCTTATTGAGGTTAGCCTAAGGGGGTGGGCTGGAGTCAATATTTAGGCTTCTACAGCCCAAAAGATGTCAGCAGATATGACCCACAGCCATGTATTTTACTTTTATAGAGGCACTTATCTCTGCCTATAAGGAAGATTTGATTTAACAATTCAGCACATAAATATATACATTATCTGGGGACTGCAGAGATAGGATTAGAGTTAGGAGAAATCTAATGTGGTACTTAAGATCAGGTTTAGGATTTCAAATTAGGATTATGAATTTGGAGCCCTCTGTGGTACAGGTATCTGGCCATTGACATTTCTATGTTTTAATTGTGGATTGCCTTTGTGGTTATCCTGGAGTCCCATAACTGCTTTTCTGGTGTACTTTACAGAGCTATAATTTGTACTGATGTCAACCTTTGGCTGTAAATATGTGATATTTAAACATGTAATAATATTTTTTACTGCATAGATAGGTATGTTATAGTCTGGTTTACCATTTAGGAAACTACACTGTCAGAAACCCATTTTATTGATTGCTGTTATTGGTATTACTTATCCTACCAGGGCTTAGACTAAACCCATCACAAACTGTAGCCTTAATAACAGCCAGGGAGCAAATCCTTGTCATGTTCCCAGGAAGAGAAAGCAGAAGCATCTCTCCATCCCAGCTCACTCACCCCCATATAGAGTGTATGAACATGATGCATGTCTAGAAGAATGTGGGCTATCAACTGCTGTGCTCTGGGACATGTTTAATCACCAGTCAGCAACAGGAAAAGGCACTTTTCCCTTCCCCAAGACACAGCATGGCAGTGCAGGTGCATCTGCCAGGCTTTTGTACCTTTATTGGCATAACTGTCAAGGGAAAAGGAACACTAAAGTCTGGCAAGAGTTTTCTGTATTTTCTGTGACTGACACCTGAGAATGAGTTGGCGTCACCAAACATGGTCTGCTCTGTTTCTGTCACAGTGTTCTCTGTGCTGATGGCTCTTTAACTCAACTTTTTGAGGGACTCTGAGCTGTAATGAGGACTTAAAAGGAAAAAATCTCTGCAGCAGAGAACTGAGCAGTTTGCATCACTCTCTGATGGGCTGACAGGTTTAAAGGTAATACCTGCCTGCAATAAAAGCCTAGTTTGAAGAAAGACTCTTTCCCTTGGCTGGACTGTGAAGGTTCCCTTTCTAGCATAGACAGTGGGAAGGACACACTTTTTATCTGTTTTTTTTTTCCTCTTATCCCAAAAGATTAGAACAGGATGTCAGATTCTGACGTGAGGAGGGAGGTGCATTTGTAAAGGACATCACAGGAGAAGGTGTTTAAGGGAAGTAGGAGGTCATCACAGTTCTCCCAAAGGAAAAGGAACATGCTTTGCAGACCAAACAAGAAAAAGTCCTTTCCTTCAGCACTTAAAAATCTTGTTTCAGTACATCATCAGAGATGTATCTGGAGGATGGGACTTTTTACTGTCAGCCTTCTTTTATTCACTTTGGAATGAGTCATATGTTTTTGTGACCAAAGCAGTTGATTTGAAGATGAAAATTATAAATAATGCACCACCCTTAAGACAATTCTATTCCTGAAAGATTAAGCTCAGGGTATTGGCAACATTCTTTGTTCAAAGTTAGTTTTCACAAAATAAGAGAAAATCCTAGGGGTGCTGGTAAAGAATATGGGTTGACATAAGCATATTCTCACAAGAGAACATAGTTTGTCCTGTGTTCATGGGTGCTGTGCCTGAGAAACAAATATCATAAAGGCTCAATCAGAGTGGAAAGAAAAGAATTTTCATAACTATGATAATATACAATAACTGCTGCTTAAAAGCATGGCCCTCCAGAAATCCTGTCAGTAACAAAATTACATTGCTAATTGCTTCCTTTTCTGCTGAGGAGTGAAAACCTTGAGCATGGGGTGGAAGTGGAGGTGCATGTGCCAAAGTACTGATAATAAACATTAGTGACCCTGCTCTGCCTGAGCTTTAGTAAATGATTCAGGCCAATTCTTGCTTCTGTTCAATGCAGGACGTGAGAAATGAGCAGGATGGAGAGACACAATTGATGGGAAAGCTCAGTGTAACAGCATGCCAAAGCCAATCCCACAGGAGCTTAGTGACTGCACTGTGATGTCAAATAGCAGTGAAAATGAACTCCAGATGAATGTGGGGCCATGTGAGGAAAAACAGCCCAAAGAAAGATCACACCATGGTCCTTTCCTGGTACCTGAGCATGGGTTCTTTGTTGTCTTGAGTACACTGAAAGGAAAAAGAAGCTGGAAAGGGAAGCATCTTGCTCAGCCTTCCATGCCAAGCTCAGTGGAAATTCAGATCTCTTGATGTTTTAATTAATTTTTTTTCTTTAATTCTTCAAGAATATAGCATACATTTCAACTAAGGATATGCTCCAAACTCAGGAGAACAGCAAGTTTCTGAGTGTTTAGCATAACTCTTAGATTAGTGTTTAGCATAACTCTTAGATTAAAGTAATTTGATGTAACTGTGATATGAACATCACATTTTCCTTAGAATCCATACAGTGGACATCTACTAGAGGAAGAATTCCTAGAAAAGGTTTAAGGATGAAGAAGCTAGAGCAGTGGGACTGCAGGCTATCAAATTCTAGGAAATTTATTTCAGAATGCCCAAAAAGATGCAACTTTTGTTTTCAGATAAAGAGTTCCTGTGACGACACTGTATCTTGTATAAAAATGTTCTCATGTGAAAATATGAGATGAGTTTAAACTAGAAAATCTAAATTATAAATAGAAATAAGGTGCTTCTTGTGTTTTGGGCATGTTTGATCTTTTTAGTTGGGTTAATGTGCTACATAGTCTCATCTGTTTCTGTGAATA